ATGCAGAGGGGGGCGTTACCGAGCATGCTCAGTACAAGCAAATCGAAGGGGGAGGGGAATTTACCCTGTGTACCCCCCCCCCACACCCCATCACCTCTTTCCAGAATCTACTAAGGCACTTGAAAACTCTTACTTGTTAGCAATTAGCGGAGACGAGGCCTGTGTCTAATTCCTAGCTAAGAGAACACGAACCGAACACTGGGCCCACTCGGCGCTAATAGGAACATGTAGGACACCCCAGGGACAATGGTTAGCCTTAACGATTTAACTATCTTCTTACCAACTCTGTGGAGGGAGAGAGAGAGCAGGGACTCGGAATTCTGGGCTCTAGCTCCCCTCTGGGAAGGGAGGATAGTGGGTTACAGCAGGGGGCAGACAATGGCCACACTGGGTCAGACCAATGGTCCATCAAGTCCAGCATCCCATCTTCCAACAGGGACCAATGCCAGGTGCTTCAGAAGGGATGAACAAAAGAGACAAACATCAAATGAACCTAGCTTCAGCCTAACAGACACTTTCCATACCCTACCCATCCTGACTGGTAGGCACTGATGGACTTATCCTCCTTGAACTTCTTTCATTTTTATTGGAACCCTGTTATAGTTTGGGTCTTTTTCACCATACCCCATCAAAGCTTCCACAGGTATTGACCATGAAAACATAGTTTTAAATCTGCTACCTATAAATTTCATTGGTTGATAATCTTGTGTTATGTTAGTGAAGGAGTAAATAACATTTCCTTAGTCCATTTGTCCACACCATACATGATTTTCTAGACTTCTAACATATTCTCCCATCCTTTAGTCATTTTCAAGCTGAAAAGTCCCAGTCTTTTAATCTCTCCTAATATGGAAGCTGTTCCTTAACCCTAATCATTTCTGTGTCCCTTCTCTGTACCTTTTCCAAATCCAATATATCTGTCTTTAAATTGAGTGGCCAGATATGCATGCAGTATTCAAGATGTGGGCATATCATGACTTTATATAGAGGCAATATGATATTTTCTATCTTATTACCTATTCCTTTCCTAATGATTCCCAATATTCTGTTAGCTTTTTGCCACTGCTCATTGAGTAGATGTTTTCAGGGAACTATCCACAATCATAGAATACTAGAACTGGAAGGAACCTTGAGAGGTCATCTAGTCCAGTTCCTTATACTCATGGCAGGACCAAGCACCATCTAGACCAGGGTGGGCAATAATTTTTAAAAGGGGGCCACCCCCGAAGGGGCAGGGCCTCAGGCAGAAAGGCCGAGGCCAGGAGACTTCTTGCGCTCCCCCCCACACACACACTCTAATTGGCCTGGGGTGGGGGAGAGTGAGAAGTCTTCCCCCGCCCCGCCCCCTAGAGAGAAATGCCAGCTGTTTTAAAACAGCTGGCATTCCCTCTAGGTGCCTAGCAGAAGGAGACCTTGCAGGCTCTCCCTGCCCCCAAGCCAATCAGAGCCTGGGGTCACGAGAGCACACAAAGTCACCTTGCCCTGGCAAGAGCGTGCAGTGGCTAGAGACACACCAGCAGTTTTAAAACAGCCTTTGAAACAGCTTTGAGTGCTCTCCACCCCCAGGCCAATCAGGGGCGTGCAGTGGCTAGAGAGATACTGGCATGTCTCGCTAGCCGCTGCGTGCTCTTGCAGGGGTGAGGAGACTTCCTATGCCCCCCTACCCCCTGGCCCTGATTGGCCTGAGGG